GACAAACTATTATTTGGTCCCTCAACAATACTCTACTTTTTACTGTATTGCCTGCAAACACACCAATATCTTTGGTCTTTGCATGTTCAGAGGGAGCAGTTTCAAATAAGTAACACCTCTTGCAGGTTTACATAGTGAAAAAGTGCCTTACATCCTGAAAAACTAATGCATCATCTACAGTTGCCACCCCCAAAGCTGCTTGCAAATGCATCAACACCCTTCCAGCTCATCCAGTTGCTTGCACATTAAAAGTAGCCAACTTCCTTAAAGTGGTTGTAAACCCTCACATATACCCAGTAACGTGACTTTCCTCAGGTGACACACAGAGATTGAACAAATCCTCCTGCACAAGTTGTACCTGTTTATGTACAGTCATCTCTTCTCTACATCTGTTCAAAGTGCTGAATTTATAAGCTTGTCAGATAGTCCAGAAAAAAAGGGAATGGACAGCTAAATTACACACTTCAGAGCTGGAGCTCCCTCCCCTGTCATCATTTTTCTCTTGGTGTCAGGAAAACTTAGAAGTGCTTCATGCTGATAGCAGAGGAATAAAGCAACAGGCAGAAATTAAACATTGCACTCTTAAAGTGTTACTAAACCCACAACAGTAAAATCAGTCTGTATATGCAGTAAAGCATGCTTGTTATACTCACTGTGGAACCTAAGGGGTTAATCCTCTACACTGTAAAAAGGCTGTTTGATCCTGTCTCCTCTGATCCTCCCCTTCTACTGTATACTCACTGTGGAACTTAAAGCGGAGCTCCACCCAAAAGGGGAAGTTCTGCTTTAAGGGCTGCTACCCATTAAGGATTGGCACCTTTGGGGGGAGTACCCAAATTTGACAGGTACCCGCTCCCACTTCTGGTCAAATTGCCTAGGCGATCGGAAACGGAAGGTGCCCTCCCTCCTTCCCTCCCTCCCTGTAGTCTTTTGAGACACATGACAGGTCCCAGAAGACTACAGGACCATTCATGGAGCTACTCGCGCATGCGCAGTGGGTACCCGGCTGTGAAGCCACAAGCTATCACAGCCGGTTGCCCACACTGAAGATGCCGGCCTCCTGGAATACAGGACGGCCAGTGAAACGGGCTGCAGGGGACACACCACGGGACCGAGGGACAGGTAAGTGGCTGTGTTTTAAAAGTCAGCAGCTACAGTTTTTGTAGCTGCTGGCTTTTAATTTTTTACAGGGTGAGTGGAACTCCACTTTAAGGGGTTAATCCTCCACACTGTGTAAAAAGACTGTTTGATCCTATCTTCTCTGATCCTCCCCTTCTACTGTCCTCCATCTATCTGCTGATAGTACAGAGCTCTAGGAGTCACTCTGCACATGCTCAGTTTGGTGTGAATTGCTATAGAGTTTTTTTTTTCTTTGGGAGGGTGCGTGTGATCAGCACAGGGCCAATCAGTGCTGTCCAAAGGGTCAGAGGTTATGCAGCCTCATAGGACAGTCAGAGAAGAATGAAAACACTAATAGAAGTCACAAGACTGCTATATGCTGTTGAGGAGAAAAGGTATTTAGCAATTTATATTTACTAAAATAATTGCATTTCCATGTTGTGTGTACTGTGGGAGACCAGGTATAGTGAATGCAGGGTCCTGGGTTTAGTAATACAACAAGCACACACAATAGAGGGATTTGCTTTCTTCATATTATATGTCTGAGGTTGACAACCACTTTAAAGGCTACCAAATTGTATTCAAAACCACAAAAATGCATCCAAATCCACTAAATTACCTGCCACCACCCAAATGTCCCAGAATAGCCCCCAATTATCAAACATCACCAAATAAACAAAGCATACAGAAGATACTGTACACAAATAAAAAGTATTGAACAAAATGAATAGGTAATAATAATGTGATAGATTTCAAATAATAGCAGCTAATGTAAATACACTTTATCCATGGTATAGTTGGTAACATTATGATACAAGAGGAAAGGGGTTAATGGAAAGTTAAAATGGTTTTGGATTATTTTATTTATTTTTTTCAGGTTTTTAAACCTATATTACATCTTTTACTATCATATAGACAGTTTTTATTTTGAAAATAAACAGCTAACACACTGTGCACCCATGGCACTGACGCTAAGAACGCTATATATTATCTAATAGGAGAGCAGAGCACAAGTTATTTTCAAACTCAATATAACAAATAGCCTGAACAGAGCAGGCAAGAAGGAGAGAGGATGGGGTTTTTGTCTGATCTTTCTGTTGTGTGTATCTTGAGCTATTGAGCTCTGTACACAGCAGACTCTTTTAGAAAAGCAGACAAGCTTCTACAGGCCATATCTGCGACTTTAAAGCTCACCAAGAAATTTGGTATTCCCTAGGACCTGGCTGCTCTTGGGGATGACGATACCTGGGTAAACTGGAAAGATAATAGTAGGTTTGCAGGCACTATTGCGTAATGTCTGAAAATGCTGCATAGTTTTGATAAGTGGAAGGTGCAATTTAAATGTCATAAATGGTCATGAATCTGGAAATACCCACCTACAGGGATGCACCAAATCCCTATAGTTGGCAATATTCACCTACAGGAATGCATACATGCTCTGTAAGTGACAAAAATCACCAAGAGGGATGCACAGATGGCATATATGTGACAATCCTCACCAATAAGGATGCAGATATGCCCTATAGGTGACAATACTCACTAATGGAGAGGCACAACTGCAATATAGGTGACAATACCCACCTTCAGGGATTCACAGAATCCATATAGGTGGCAATATTGACCTACAGGAATGCACAGATGCTCTACAGATGACAAAAATCACCAACAAGTATTAGCAGATGCCCTATAGGTAACAATGCTTACCTATAGGAATGCAAAGATGCCTATATGTGATAGTACTCACCAATAAGGATGCACAGATGCCCTATAGGTAACAATGCCCATCTACAGGGGTGCACAAAAGCCCTATAGGTGACAATACCCATCTACATGGATGCACAGTTGTCCTATTGGTAACAAAACCCCTTAACAGGGATGCAGAGGTGCCCTATAGGTGACAATACCCATAGGGTTGCACAGATGCCTTATAATACTCGCCAACAGGGGTGCACAGATTACCAACAGGTAACATACTGCCCAATTGTCCTATAGGCAACGGTTCCTTCTTTGAGGGATGCAAAGTTGTACCTTAGGTGACTATATTTACATATAGAAATGCACAGCAGTCCTACCTATAGGTGACAGCATTCACATGTGTTGATGCACAATTGTCTTATAGGTGACAATTCCCACTCAGAGAGATGCACAGATCTCCTATAGGTGACAATACCCATGCAAAGGGATACACAGATGTTGTGTAAGTGACAGTACCCACCTATATGATGTGCACAGTTGTCCTATAGGTGGCCATTCCCACTTATAGGGGTGAACAGATGCTCTATAGGTTACAATTCCCACTTAGAGAGATGCACAGATCTCCTATAGGTGACAATACTCATACAAAGGGATACGCAGATGTCCTGTAAGTGGCAGTACCCATCAACATGGGATGCACAGTTGTCCTATAGGTGACCATTCCCACTTAGAGGTGCGCACAGATGTTCTATAAGTGACAATTCCCATTTAAGAGGGTTGCACAGGTGTTCTATAGGTGACAATTCCCACTTAGAGAGATGCACAGATCTCCTACAGGTGACAATACTCATAAAAAGGGGTGCACAGGTGTTCTATAAGTGACAGTACCCATTTAGAGGGGTGCACAGGTGTTCTATAGGTGACAATTCACACTTAGAGGGCTGCACATGTGTTCTATAGGTGACAGTACCCACTTAGAGGGGTGCCCAGGTGTTCTATAGGTGACCATTCCCACTTAGAGTGGTGCACAGATGTTCTATAGGTGACAATACTCAGACAAAGTGAAGCACATATGTCCTGTAAGTGACAGTACCCACCGATATGGGGTGCACAGGTATTCTATAGGTGACCATTCCCACTTAGAGGGGCGCACATGTGTTCTATGGGTGACAGTACCCCCTCAGAGGGGTGCACAGATGTTCTATGTGTAACAGTACCCACTTAGAGGGGTGCACAGGTGTTCTATAAGTGACAGTACCCACTTAGAGGGGTGCACAGGTGTTCTATAAGTGACAGTACCCACTTAAGAGGGGTGCACATGTGTTCTTTAGGTGACAGTACCCACTTAGAGGGGTGCACAGGTGTTCCACTTAGAGGGGTGCACAGGTGTACTATAGGTGACCATTCCCACTTAGAGGGGTGCACAGGTGTTCTATAGGTGACAGTACCCACTTAGAGGGGCGCACAGGTGCTCTATAGGTGACAGTATCCACTTAGAGGGGCGCACAGGTGTTCTATAGGTGACAGTACCCACTTAGAGGGGTGCACAGGTGTTCTATAGGTGACAGTACCCACTTAGAGGGGCGCACATGTGCTCTATAGGTGACAGTACCCACTTAGAGGGCTGCACATGTGCTCTATAGGTTACAGCACCCACTTAGAGGGGTGCACATCTGTTCTATAGGTGACAGTACCCACTTAGAGGGGCGCACATCTGTTCTATAGGTGACAGTACCCACTTAGAGGGGCGCACATCTGTTCTATAGGTGACAGTACCCACTTAGAGGGGCGCACGGGTGTTCTATAGGTGACAGTACCCACTTAGAGGGGCGCACGGGTGTTCTATAGGTGACAGTACCCACTTAGAGGGACAGTACCCACTTAGAGTGCTCTATAGGTGACAGTACCCACTTAGAGGGCTGCACATGTGCTCTATAGGTTACAGCACCCACTTAGAGGGGCGCACATCTGTTCTATAGGTGACAGTACCCACTTAGAGGGGCGCACATCTGTTCTATAGGTGACAGTACCCACTTAGAGGGGCGCACGGGTGTTCTATAGGTGACAGTACCCACTTAGAGGGGCGCACGGGTGTTCTATAGGTGACAGTACCCACGTACAGGAACCCACAGTGGTCGCACAGGTGAGCAGCCTCCCTTATAGGTCGCACAGGTGACAATACTCACAGGTTGGCCAGGCCAGCTTTGCGCACAGCAGAAGAGATGGCTTTGATGGCCGTGCAGAGGGAATTGAGGAGCTGGGTCATCTCCCCCGTGCCTTTGGCTTTGATGCCCTCTTCCATGATGAATCGGGTCATGGTGATGACATTGGTGTCGAAGGGGGCTTGGTCCGTCATGGTGAGGAGAGCGGTGAGTGCACACAGGAGAGGCAGGTAAGTGGATGGCCAGGTCAGCACAGATCCCGGACAGTGACACTCCTATAAGAGGAGACACTCCCACCTCCCGCATCGTACAGTCATTGGAGGGGAAGGTAGGTGGGCGGGGCACTCTGACAGACTCTCAGCCAATCACTGCTCACAACTGGAAAACTTTTCACTTTCTTCTGCTGATTTGTACAGTTCAGCCCAGAGGTGGAAGAGGAAATGTCAGCACAGAGTTGTACTTCCCATCCCCCTCATCTCTCTGCCCACATGACTAAAGTCCTCTGATGAGGCAACCAGAATGAGTGAAAACAGCTTTCCTCCCTGGACACATGTGGATGTCTGTACAGGGCGTATCCTCTCACCTAGGAGCGGATTACAGGGACACAGCATGTATGATAATACATTCATACCCAGCACACTGTGCCGCCTCTGCAATGGATACAGGGCAAGGGGTTAGTCTAGGGGTGCAGGTGACACCCCATTCCTGGCTCCAGCAGGCTTCCACCATCCATATGACTGCTCACCTCCTACGTACAATGAAGGGTTAATGGCCCTGCACTGTACATGGTGACACCAAGGCTCCTCCCACAGTCAGCTGTTTTGGGTATCAGAGAATAGCAGGGGGACCAAGAGATGGGGTAATACACAATATCCAGGCACCCCTAGGCTAAATGAATGGCAGGGGCCACACTGCAAGGGTAGATTTTGTTCAGATGTAAAGCCCAGCTCTGGGGAAAAAAGTCCTCTCTGGCAGTGAGGCTGCAAGGGTCGACTGCTTATTTAGTCTAGGGCAGTGGCCTCCAAACTACAGACCAAGGGCCAGATGTGACCCTTAGCTTGCCCTTATTCAACAATGAGGCACTATTCCTTTCACTCACATCAATGATGGGATAGTATTCCTCCCACTGACACCAATGATGGGGCACCATTCCTCCCACTGACACCAATGATGAGGCACCATTCTTCCCACTGATATGAATGATGGGGACACTATGCCTCCCACTGACACCAATGATGGGGCACCATTCCTCCCACTGACACCAATGATGAGGCACCATTCTTCCCACTGATATGAATGATGGGACACTATGCCTCCCACTGACACCAATGATGGGGCACCATTCCTCCCACTGACACCAATGATGAGGCACCATTCTTCCCACTGATATGAATGATGGGACACTATGCCTCCCACTGACACCAATGATGGGGCACCATTCCTCCCACTGACACCAATGATGAGGCACCATTCTTCCCACTGATATGAATGATGGGACACTATGCCTTCCACTGACACCAATGATGGGGCAATTCCTCCCACTGACACCAATGATGGGGCACCATTCCTCCCACTGATATGAATGATGGGACACTATGCCTCCCACTGACACTGACACCATTCCTCCCACTGATGGGGACACCATTCCTCCCACTGACACCAATGATGGGGCACCATTCCTCCCACTGATATGAATGATAGGACACTATTCCTCCCACTGACACCAATGATGGAGCACCATTCCTCCCACTGATATGAATGATAGGACACTATTCCTCCCACTGACACCAATGATGGGGCACTATTCCTCCCACTGACACCAATGATGGGGCACCATTCCTCCCACTGATATGAATGATGGGGAACCATTCCTCCCACTAACACCAATGATGGGGCACCATTCCTCCCACTGATATGAATGATGGGGCACTATTCTTCTTCCACTGCCACCAACAATGAAGCACTATTACTCTGACGCACATTAATGATGGGACACTATTCCTCTCACTGACACCAATGATGTGGCACTATTCCTCCCACTGACATGAACAATGGGGCACTGATACCAATGATGGGGCACTATTTCTTCCTCTGATACCAATGATGGGGTACTATTCCTCCCAATGACACCAATGATGGAGCAGTATTCTTCCCACTGACACCAATGATGCGGCACTATTCCACCCACTAACACCATTGATGGGGCACTATTCCTCCCGCTGACACCAATGATAGGACACTATTCCTACCAGTGACACCAACAATGAGGCACTGCTCCTCTCACTGACACCAATGATGGAACACTATTTCTCTAATACTACTCACTCCCATTGACACCAGGGCATTTCCACTTCCACTGGCCACAGTCCAGCCCCTGTAAAGTCTGAAGGACAGTAAACTGGCCCTTTGTTTAGAAAGTTTGAAGGTCCCTGGTCTAGGGGACGGGAAAGCACATTTATTTACCTGACCTTCCATTCCTCTGCAGAAAAATGCTCCCCTCTGCTGTGGCAGTGGACTGTGCCTTGGCATCCTCACAGCCAGTGCAGGGATATGGGCCTAGCATTACATCAGAGGACAATAGACTGCCATATCATAGGGGAAAAAAGGTTGCATGGACTGACCTAGTAGCTCTGTCCTGCAGATTACATTGGAAGATCACCTCTGTCCCTGTGTAACCGGTGTCACTCCCGTCTGCTTTCTGTGTGACAGCCTTCCACTCTGATTCTGGAGCTCTGTGTATTCCTGAGAAACAGAACCAGACTGTCACAGAGTTTACACAGGGAGGCTCACATTGCACCTGGACCTGGTCCTCCTCTGTATTCATTTATCAATAAAAGCTGCTATTATGTCAAAAATAGAAAAAAAAACTTTTTAAAACATAATTTTAGGCCCCTTTTAACTCATTAGTGAAGCCTATTTTTTTCTTTTTAATTCCCTCATTCTCTCTCTCTCCCCTAGTATTTTTATTTTGCAGTTTTTTTTTATAAACGCTGGTATGTAACCTTTTTAGATTTGTTTCTATTTGTGTTTGTAGTACACCGCAGGGGATTGACAGACCCAGCTGTGCACCTTTCCCTATGAGACTGTGTTTGAGGGGGTGTGCATTCCCTGCACTCAGATCTCAAATTACATTCAGTTTTCTTCTCTGTTCTGTGCAGTTTGTGGTGTCAGTCCCCCACCCGCTGTCTGCTGGAGCTGAGAAAAGGCCTTTGATCAATGTGCTGTTGAAGACTTTAGAGGAGAGAGGGTCACAGATAAACAGGTACAACGTATGAGGGGAAATTTGCTATATCTCTGTGTATCACCTGAGGCTAGTCACTTCACTGAGTAAGGGTTTACAAAACTTTGGCTATCCTTTTTATGTTTCTTAATTCCTTTTTCCATTCACTTACCTTTTTTTTACCCTTTTAACTTCATATTGGTTTTTGTAATGCAGAATTAATGAGCTTGTTGGAGGTGTGTACTTTGGCATCTTAACCTTGAGTACCAGGGGATCTTGTCCCAGCACTGGTGGCGACTGCAGCATTCTCACTCCTTATGTCATTCATCTTTTCCTGACATTAATCTTCATGGTGAGCTGAACGGAACACACAATGTCATGAAGCATTCTGTAGGTGCTTTTCTATTCTGCATTCTATAGATGACCATGGGCATGTTCGATATGCAGGGCGTAATCCAATCACTCTCAGGGCATCAGACAACAATTGAGTAAGGTACCTTATGGGTGGTCTAAATTCACTTCATAAGGGGAAGCAATAACTCTCCTGATGACTATTATTATTGTTATTATAATACAGGATTTATATAGCACCAACAGTTTGCTTAGCGCTTTACAATATAACGGGAGACAATACAGCAACAATACAGTTCAATACAAGAGGGATAGGAGGGACCTGCTCCTTGGAGCTTACAATCTAAGAGGGAGGGGCTAGTGGCTCAAAAGGTAATAACTGTGTGGGATGGACTGGTAGGAGGAGTAGAAGATTCCATTATTAACTGAAGGTAGGATAGGATTCCCTGAAGAGAGAGGTTTTCAGAGATCGCCTAAAAGTAAGCAGAGTAGGTGATAGTCTGATAAATTGGGGTAGAGAGTTCCAGAGGACAGGGTAAGCTCTGGAGAAGTCCTGGAGATGAGCATGGGAGGAGAGACAAGGGAGCTAGAGAGCAGAAGGTCGTGGGAGGAGCGGAGAGTATGGTTTGGGTGATATTTGGAGACAATATCGGTGATGTAATTTGGGGCAGAGTTATACATGGCTTTATATGTTATTGTTAATGTTTTGAATTTTATCCGTTGGGCAATGGGAAGCCAGTGGAGGGATTGGCAGAGAGGGGTGGCAGATACGGAATGGTTAGTAAGGTGGATGAGTCTGGCAGCAGCATTCATAATAGACTGAAGAGGGGATACCCTGTGATGAGGTAGGGCAATGAGGAGGGAGTTACAATAGTCAAGGCGAGATATAACAAGGGAGTAAATAAGTTGCTTAGTGGTTTCTGAGGTTAAGAACGAGCGTATCTTAGAGACTATACTTTTCTAATTGCAGAGAGTTCACTATTATATAGAGATTTAGTGCCCGTTTATACCGGTACGATTTCAGGTGCGATTTTCAATTGAAATTGCACCTGAAATCGCATCTAATAAATGTCAGTGTCTTAACATGTGCAATTTGCTGCAGCTTGATTTCTATAGTAGTTATTATTATACAGGATTTATATAGCGCCAACAGTTTGCTGAGCGCTTTACATTATAGTGGGAGACAATACAGCAACAATACAGTTAAATACAAAAGGGATTTGAGGGCCCTGCTGCTTGGAGCTTACAATCTAGTTCTTGCATTAGTTTTTCTGCAGTTTTGTTGCGATTTCACATATATAGAATATAATGAAAATCGCAATGCAAATTGCAAGAAATTGTTGAAAATCTTTACATGTAGCGCTAAAGTCTTCAGAAATCACACTTGAAATCGAAATCACTCTGAAATTGCACACAAATCATGCAACTGAAGCAGTGTGACCAGGTACTTAACCACCTTCCGCCCGCCATATAGTACAATGACGGGCGCAAGGTGGTTCTCTCGTTCTGAGCGCGACGATCGCCAGTCCGCTGTGTCCGAAGGAAGATGCTGGTTTGGTCATGTTATCAGCTGTGTCCAATCACAGCTGATCACATGTAAACACGGAAATGCCGGTTATCAGC